TAAATTTGAATTGTTCCATCTTCCTTCACTTTCTCATTTTGTTTTCGTACCACGGTCACTCCCAGCTCGACCGCCACAACAGTCGGAGCAGTTCCAAATTCCATTTACTAAAATCTTATTTTTGATTCTTTACCAAGTTATAATACAAAACATAATACAACAGTTGGAGCAAAAGAATTATCAAAAATTTGCTGCAATAATTTTTCGACCATAAATGAAGACATAAACCCGGATGTAATGGTGCCGCCATTGAAACCCTGGCTATTACACGAATATCAAGATTTGTACAGACGCTTCGAAGCTTTTTCAGACGGTGGATTTCCGGAGCTTTACAATCTCGAGCATCAGCCCAAACCTGGTACTCAGATTGCTTAAGTGTTTCCACACTCAGTGTTAATCTTGCAAGCGCTTTGGTAGTGTAAATACTGTAAGCTTTCAAGTGATTTCAATAAATAAATAAGGGCGAACTATGCCCCCGATATTGATATTGGAATACGGAATGCATATGACCGCGGGTTATAGGATCGACCTACTACGAGCATCTACACCTGCCGAACTAAAAAATGCATGTTGTGAGGAAACGTTGAGGTGCAAACTGAAGAACCTTTATTGGAAAAGTCCCTTTACTCAGTAACAGAGTCATTCAAAGTACTTGTATATAAACAATCAAATTATTATACTTATTATTGAATTTGTTGTTCACCGTATTATTATACTTTAATATACATTTATTAGTTAGTAAGAATCCATATTGACATTTCCTGTATATACGCGACATTGTTATTAATTCTATTATTTATTGGTTTCATGAATTATGTTGATTTGTATTATGTACATTATTGTGCACTTATGACATACTATTATATAATTATTTCTAAACTTTACTGACGATCACTTTTCGAAGAGTAGTATAAAATGAAATGTAATTGTAAGAAATTTGTAATGTTGAGAGACATAAACTAAACTAAACATAAATATAATAGAAGTAGCAGACGCGCAGTGCTGCATCGCATCCCAATCTGCTGATCTTTCTTTATTTTGAGTCGGTTTAAAGGAGGTATGCTGTGCTTGCCTTTGTTTGACTCTTACTTTTCTGGTTGTAAAATGTGTTGTACATATTGAAAAAATATGTGTGTAATTTATTTATAATTTGTGATTTATTTATAAAACCAATTACTTACTATTTCTCTCACCTTCTGATTGTCGTGCTTATACATATTTTGTATTTCTAATTATTTTCTAATCATCTGAGATAGTGTGTACAATAATTGATATCATTTTAATACTGTTTCAACATTTACTTTGCGCAGGCGCGGGAAATGCAAAACATGATTGCGAACCTGCACGCTATTGATCGAGATCTCTACACCAAGATCCAGATGCTGCAGGACGACGAGGCCATGGCCACAGCTGCGGCCACTGCAACGTCCACGGAGGTGGAGACGGCTATGACGTCCACCACATACTAACATGACATGCCGTAGACAGCATTGGTCGCGCATTCATACGTGTACCGTATACCTACCTTAGTGTTATATGTCATAATATTATGGAGATAAAATTTGGTCTTGTTCTTAAACGCGGCAGCTAACGATTAAAACTAACTGAAAGACACTGAGCGGTCTATACAATTCTGCACCAACGTCTACCGTATTATGTAAGTAATGCATAGATCGGCATGATGAATATCATTTGGCAACATTGTGGACTAACTGCATTATAATATTATTTTTTTAAACAACTATTTACACAATATTACTCCTTAAACTTATTTATCAATGTATTTCTATAACTTTCAACTAAATATTAAAAGTAAAGTAAAGTGTCACGAGTTAGATTACAGGAAAATAAATGATAAATTTAAGTATCTTTTTAAAGCTGTAAGCCTCGTAACTAAATTATGTAGTTATGTCGAGTTCTTAGGTTTTCGCGATTGTTACACATAGGAAATGAAACTATTTTTCCGGATTTAAATCGCGTATATTTGTTTTTTCAAACAAACCGACGTTTCCGGCCCTTTACAGGTCCCATAGTCACGGTTGACTGAGGTGGTACATTCTTCAACAAGTTATGTCTAATATTAAACAAATTTATATTCTATTAAAGAATTCACACAACAAGTCTGCAGTCAATTGAACTTAATAAAAATTCATTCAATAAAATAATTTGTAAAACTTAATGTAGCGTAAATTGGAATGATTTCTTTGTAAAATTAAAAATAAGGTATTTAATTAATAACTACTGTAACTATAGTGAAAAAAATAGGGTGGTTTGCATTAATATTAGACATAACTGGTTGAAGGCTACCACCTCAGTCAACCGTGACCATGGGACCTGTAAAGGACCCGAAATGTCGGTTTGTTTGAAAAAAAACAAATATACGCGATTTAAATCCGGAAAAATAGTTTCATTTCCTATTATGTAGTTATGTTTTAGTGTTCTTTTTAAATGAAATCAGTAAATGAAATGCTGTACATTTTGTTTTATCATTCGTCAATAGCAATGAAGTTATTTTAATGTCTCATTAATTTAACTATAAGGATTATGATTATAATAACATTCATTCTAAGTATTAATAAAATAATTTGTACTTACGCACGAGGACTGTGAAGAGTTTGGCTCTAATGGCGGCGGCCGAAGGAATGTAGTTGTTTTTCGGGAAGAATAATAATATATTGTTTTAGTGTGTGTCTGCAGTTTTATTTAATCAGAAGAACTTTCAAACGCTTATTCCTACTGGTGCGTAATGTTTTATGAACCTCAATTTTGTGACATGCCCGTTTTCTTCCAGATTCCCATGCCTACCTGCTTTGAACTAATTTATACATGCAAAAATGGGCCGTGTTCTGCATAAATGTGTTAACCCACAGAAAATCGTAAAATGAGTTATGAATGCAGTCTTATACTTTGTAATATAAAGTTAAATATTCTTTTCAGTACTATATGTAAAAAAATCGTAGTAATTGTTGAATAAAAAAATAGTTTTCGCAAAATCTGGTTCGTCTCATAGGTGAATTTCGCAAAAATGAGGTATGTGTGGTTAAACCATAAATGCGAATTGGTTTCAAACGATTTAGTTTAAGTACGCTTAACACATACAACTTGTTTGATAAATGGAAATACTTTGAACTTTATCGATGACATGGATTTAAGTGGCTAAGTGACAAACGCTTTTTAATGTACGTTTTAACGTTAAAAAAATAAGCAATTTTTTGCATTTCAACGTTTAACAACTACAAAAGTTAAACAGCTTATGTTTTTGAACGCTTTTAAACGCCAATGAACAAAATGTTAATATAATACTGTTATGTCTTCTATAAAAATCAAACTCGTTTTTTACAAATAAACTTACTTATCTTTAAAACCTTTAGTGGTATACTCTTGCGTAATAAAAGTCCTAAAAGTCGATGCGCTTTAACGTTTTCTAAACGATTTTGTTGGCTTCAAATTAAAAAGCGTTTAAAAAACCACGCTTTTTTAAAAAAAGCATAACGTTTAAGCGTTTAAAAAAATAAGCAATTTTTCCATCTCTACTGATTAGAGATACTTCAAGTGTTGCCTACGCCAATTTTACCAATTCCTTAAAAATCTAGGACAAATTATATTTTTTTCTCTTTATCTATATTTTTATCTCTTTATTTATATAGATGAGGGATAGGAACATTCCAGTTGACATTGTAAGCATATTCCAATACTGGTACACACATCAGACAAATAGCGTTCGTTGGGCCAATGAGCTGTCAGATCCGTACGGGTTGGAGTGCGGGGTGAGACAGGGGGGTTTGTCTTCCCCCAAGCTCTTCAATCTGTACGTGGACGGGCTTATCGGTGAGCTCAGCAGCACTCAAGTCGGATGCCACGTTGATGGTGTGTGTGTAAACAACATCAGTTACGCGGACGACATGGTGTTGTTGAGCCCAACGGTGAGTGCTCTAAGAAGGCTCCTAAAAATTTGCGAATCCTATGCGTCTAGTCACGGTCTGTGCTACAATGTCAAAAAAAGTGAATATGTGATCTTTAGGGCTGCCGGTAATCGTCCGGAAAAGATTCCAGATGAAGTGCCACCAATCACTCTATATGGCACTCCATTACAAAGAGTTTTACATTTTAAATATCTAGGGCATTACTTGACCGATGACCTTAAAGATCACCTGGATATTGAGAGGGAACGCAGGGCATTGGCGGTAAGGAGTAACATGTTGGCCCGCAGGTTTGCTCGTTGCTCTGATCAAGTTAAGATCACATTATTTCAAGCGTACTGTCAGAGTTTTTATACGAGCGGCCTGTGGTTTGACTGTACTCAGAAATCGCTTAATGCCCTGCGAGTCCAATATAATAATGGATTCCGGATGCTGCTGGGGTTGCCCCGCTTCTGTAGCGCATCACAAATGTTCGCAGAGGCACACACAGATGGCTTCCATGCCATCATGCGCAAAAGAGCTGCCTCATTGATGCGCAGGGTGCGGGCCAGCACCAGCAGCATTCTGCAAATGATCGCCAGTAAACCGGACTCTCTTTTGCACAGTCATGTAAACCACCTGATGATAGTGTGTCAATAGGTGTTTACATGGTTGTGTAATATAAAATGTTTTGTTTTTAGTTTTATTATATTTTTATTTTTATTACTTACTCACTAACAATAGATTAAGATATTTGTAATACTAACCAATGGATCATAGATATCCGAAATAAAAATTTTTCAATTTCAATTTTTCAATTCAATTTCAATTTCAATTTTCAATTTTCAATTTATCTGGCACATAAAAAAATCTCCAAAGGGTAGACAAAGACCTTTTTAATTAACAATTCCCGACATAATTGTTTCGGAAAAAACGCCACATCTCCGCAAATGGCAAAGAATATAATAAGCAAATAACTGTTTCCAAATCTAGGAATACATCGCACACTCGTATGGTGTTTCTATACAAACGACTCACCGAGTCGACACCGGGTCGTTTGCCGCCTTCTCCTAGCAAGCGACGGTCGCCTGATAAGATGTAAATGAGACTCAAGTCGGTTGGCTTATAATTTTAAAAAATCATAAATTATGATTTTTTTAAACTTTTCCGTAGAAAATTAATTCATTTTCAAAAAAATGAAATAAACTACACATACATATTTGTCACACCGTTGTTCTACTTTTGCATTCGTATTGGTTCAAAGTTAGAACTTCAAACTACAGGAATCTGGCAGGTCACAAAATTGGGATTTATTTGTTATACACTGTGCGGTAGCCGAATTAAAACTGTTAATTTATATTGAAGTTCATATGTTACACAAATAAAGCAAAGCAGTGAAGGATAACAATTATTTTATTTTAAGAACATCAGCTGACTTGTACTGTATTGCGGCACATTTGGTTTCTCTGCAGTACTAAAGTTATTGAGACTGCAATTGCGGTCTTTAAGTACTAACAGCACAAACTTTCAGTATTACATTGTTGTGAGCCATATCACGTGTCTGTCAATGCTGTGCTTCGCGGAGTTGGATCTTGGATATACCTACTTAGGAAGATGAATAAGATAAAGACAAAACGAAACTAGTTTTTCGGATTTAAATCGCGTGTATTTCTTTTTTCAAAAAAATTGACCGTTTCGGGCTCTTCACAGGTCCTATGGTCACGGCCGACATACCTTTATAAGCGGTTTAGATGCGAACAAATAGTTGCTTATCCAATATTTAAGCGATCGCAAAATACATGATTCGCCTGGGCAATTCGTGAAACATCGCCACATCATGTGTAAAAATCACACGGTGGTCCGGCCAACGTTATCGTGGTGCACCAAGCGAGAGGAACTGCTCGTTGAGGAACAAACCTTCGTCGGTTTTCCAAACCGAACGCTCGGCTAGTTCAATTCTTGATAATAACAGGGCTCAACGCTACATAAGCATATCGTCGAATAGTTACATCGAACGAGATTACGGGCGCATTTTGTGGAACAGCGCCGGTTCACGAAACATCCAGACCCAATTGTATTCGTGTAGGTAGCAACGTTGTGATGAAAAAATAGGAAGGGATAGAATAAGGGCAGAAGTTAGAAGAGCGATCCAGGCGTCTCAGTGCAACGCGTCGGGCAGCAGCGACCCGCAGCGCGCGCCGGGCAGCAGCACGCCGTCGGGCGCGCACAGCCAGGGGTCGCGCGAGGCGCGCTGCCAGCGCCGCAGCCGCGCCGCCAGCGCCGCCTCCCGCTGCCGCAGCGCCGGCTTGCCTGCGCCCCGCCGCGTCAGCTTCGATCGCGAATCCCACTCTGGCCTCGACCGGGCCGGGGTACTCACCGTGCAGGTTGACAGTCTCGGCGGGGTCGCGGCGCAGGTCGAACAGCTCCCACTCGGGCCTGTAGTAGTATTGCCCGAGCGTCTTGTACCACGGCAGCGGCTGCTTGTTGCGCGTGCGGTTCAGAATGTCCTGGATCACGTCAAGAGTCGAGGGAATTAATTTTACAAAGCGGTATAGCCGCGCTAAATAGCGCATTATTGCAGGGGCCTTCTCGTTATGTCGTAACGTTTTATTTATCGTTGGACAACTGTCGTGTAGCCTGTTCCCTTATCACCACTATCTGTCGAAACTGTGTCGTGGACGTTTATCGATTGTTAAACCACTGTCGTGTCTAGCTGTTCCCACTAGATCGTGAACATATATCTCAGTAAAATATTTGAAAAAATTATTCTAAATCAGATGTGTGCACATTTTTATAGTAATAATTTAATGTCTCCTAAACAATTTGGTTTCACTCGGGGTCGCTCTACAACCGACGCTGGTGTAGAGTTGATTAATCATATATTTGATGCATGGGAAGTCTCACATGATGCTATTGGTGTATTCTGTGACCTTTCCAAGGCTTTTGATTGTGTGCACCATGATACACTGGTCAGGAAACTTCGCCATTATGGTGTGGCGGGACGTGATCTCGACCTTCTTAAATCGTATTTGCATGGTAGGGTACAGAGGGTCGATGTTAACGGTACGAGATCGTCAGGGTCTGTAATTAGGATGGGTGTCCCTCAAGGTTCAATTCTAGGCCCATTTTTGTTTTTAGTTTATATTAATGATTTACCTAGCCTTACGGAGGGTATAAAACATGAGATAGTATTGTTTGCTGATGATACTTCCTTATTATTTAAAGTTAAAAGGCACCAATGTTCCTATGACGATGTGAACAATGCTATATCTAAAGTAGTTGATTGGTTTGCTGTTAATAACCTACTTCTTAATGAGAAAAAAACAAATTGTGTGAAATTTACATTACCCAATGTTAGAGAGACGGTTACAAACATTGTAGTTAGAAACGAAAAATTGAATCTTGTGGATACAGTTGTATTTCTAGGTATAACGTTAGATGCTAAATTGCAATGGGGTCCCCATATAAGTAAGTTGTCAAAACGGCTCAGCTCTGCAGTGTACGCGATCAAAAAAATAAGTAAACTTTCAGACGTCGAAACCGCTAGATTGGTTTACTTCAGCTACTTTCACAGTCTAATGACATACGGCATTTTGCTTTGGGGTAATGCCGCCGATATCAATAGAATCTTTGTCCTGCAGAAACGTGCAGTTAGGGCAATTTACAATCTGGGCCCCAAAGTATCTTTGAGAGATAAGTTTAAGGAAATTAACATTCTTACACTAGCCTCACAATACATTTATGAAAATATAATTTATGTTAAAAGGAATAGTAATTTCTTTATGAAAAATAGTGACAGACATAACATTAATACGAGGAATAAAAATAAACTAGCTTTTCTTGATAGTCGTCTTCACAAAGTCAAACAATCATTTAAGGGGCAATGTATACGCTTCTATAACAAGATTCCGGTTGATATACAAAATTTGCCTTTCACGAGGTTTAAAACTATAGTGAAACAAAAACTTTATACTAAAGGTTATTATACAACTTCTGCGTACTTGGATGACAAAAATCCGTGGTAGTAACCCGTTTAGCTCATGGTGGTAGTCTCAATCTGATGTTTCAAATAAAAAAATATTGTAAATGTTATTTACAAAGAGCAACCTCTAGAGTTTCTTGCTCATTCTTCTCAGGGGAATCTGCCTTACGAATGAGCGGTAGAGTTTAACCATTGTGACGATTTCAAGTGTAATAATGCTTACCTATGAAATAAAGATTATTTTGAATTTGAATAGTTTATCGGTACACGTGCAGGCATTGATCAATAAAACGTAACGACATTAATAGCTGAGATTATCTGTCTTCATATTTTTATCGTAACGCTTTATTTATCACCAGACGACCGTCTTTCTTGAATCTTGCCCCATTGTCTCGACAGTCTGTCGTAACGTCAAAAAAGTCGTGAACGACAGTTAATCGTGTTGTACTATACAGGTGATTTTTTTTTTGTCACTAACCAAATTTTAATATTATGATCGTTGATGATGAAAATATAACATACGTGTTTTTTTTATTTTAGTACTAAAAGTACTAAAATGTTGAGATACGACCTCACCAACTTATTCAAAAAACGGCCACGTTTTTAGGCATGCTAGACATAACACACCCCAGCCGACGCAATTGTAACAACGCCCTGCGCCTCAGTTCCGCCCACTACAAACCACAAAGGAAATAATACAATAGTGAATAAGAGAAGAATATATTTAATAGAATGAAGACCAATGTCCGCTAATTAGATGACATACTTTTCTTAGTCATTTCTAAGAAAAGTATGTTATCACTTAGGAACAGAGGTCCCATGTTATGTGTACCCATGATTAGATTGGCTGGCGCAAGAGGTTGCTTTAAGTACGCTTCTGTCAAAATTTGGAATGATCTACCTCCACCTATCCGTAAAATTCAATTTAATCTTACACTTTTAAATTTTCGTGGATATTGTCGCGAATGGCTACTTGCACAGCAGGCTCTTGCGCTTGGAATGGATTGATACTGGTAGGGTTAATTGTTCTAAGTTTGCATGTTTTGAAATAAAATATATTTACGATACACAGTGTCAGATGGGCGGGTGCAATGTCGGAGCCGTATCGGCTTCAGTGCGGTGTGAGGCAGGGTGGTTTGCCCCGATGAGGTGCGGAGTACCCCAGAGGTCCGTGTTAGGATCACAACTGTGGAACCTGGGGTACGATTGGGTGCTGAAGGGCGCGCTGCTCCCCCAGACGGCGGTCATCGCTTACGCCGATGACACGCTGGTGCCCGTCCGGGGGACCACCTCCCAGGAGGCGGCCCGAAGAGCCTCAGTAGAGGCGGTGGTCCGCCGAATACAATTGCTGGGGCTCGAGGTCGCCGTGCCGAAGACGGATGTGGCTGTCTTCGGCGGGAGGGGCAAAGGTTGGGCGGTGCCGGCAGGCGCCCACATCTCCATCGCGGGAGTATCAGTCCCGGTCAGGTCCCAGATGAAATACCTGGGTTTTGTCCTGGACCGGCGATGGAACTTCGGGGAGCATTTCCGGCAACTTGCTCCCCGAATAATGGGCGCCGCATCCGCGTTGGGTCGGTTCCTGCCCAATCTCGGGAGGCCGGGAGTCCCATGCAGAAGGCTATACGCCGGGATGACCTAGAGTATGGCCTTATACGGGGCTCCCATTTGGAGTGGGGCCTCATCAGCGGCGACAAAATCGCTGCTGAGGAGGCCTCATAGGGTGGTCGCCCTGCGAATGTGCAGGGTGTACGGTGGCCTGCGCTGCCGCATGCGTCCTCGCCGGTAATGCGCCGTGGGATCTTGAAACCGAGGTCCTAGCGGAGGTCCGCCGTGGGACTGGGGCGGGCGCCCCGCTCCCCAAGAGGTCGAGCGGGAGTGAGAGTGAATGTTCACCGATTTCACGGCGAGAGGTAAACCCTTTGGGGGAGTTAGTGGGGTAGGCCCTCCAGAGGGAGAGTCCGCACATAACCCCTGAGACTCCCTGGGCTCAGGGGTATTTATAAAGATCCCCAAAGGGTGGCTTAACCTCACCCACATTGTTTAACATATACATGGATGCGCTGATCGTCGAGCTCAGCAGTCGCCATGTAGGCTGTCACGTTGATGACGTTTGCATCAATAATCTTAGTTACGCGAACGACATGGTTCTGCTGATTGCGTTGGTCTGCGGCCTAAGACAGCTGTTGCAAGTCTGCGAAAGGTATTCTGGTGAACATGGCCTAAAGTATAACGCACCCAAAAGTCAGTACATGGTATTCGTGGCGGGCGGTGCTAAGTGTCCAATTTCAATTTCAATTTCAATTGTTTATTGCATATCACACAATGTACTACCCATATATCTTAATGGTTTCCCTCTAGACAGAATGCACCATTTCAAATACCTAGGGCACATAGTAACGTTCGGCCTCGGAGACAATGTTGACTTGGAACGTGAGCGGAGGGCATTGTCTAGGAGAGCGAATATGTTGGCTCGCAGGTTTACGCGGAGTTCAATAAGGGTGACGATCACTCTCTTCTGTGCGTACTGCACTTCATTGTACACCTGCGCAAATATTCGCAAAGAGAGTACAGCATGCTCCGTGTGCAATTTAATAATGCGTTTGGGGCGTTATTGGGGCTGCCCCACTCCTGCAGCGCTTCGGGTGTGTTCGCGGCGGCATGCACTGATTGCTTCTATACAACAATGCCCAAAAGGTGTGCATCACAGGTGCGCAGATTGCGAGCCAGCCCCATTATACTCAATACTCAATATATTTATTGCATTCATATGGTAAACATGTCTTAAAGTTAAAATAATGCTACACATATGAGCCCTTTATTAGGGATAACAATAACAGCAGAGGTAGGCCGAGGTTTCAATTATTATTTAAAATTGTTATTTATCAAATAATAATATAAAAAAAATGTCATATAATAATAAAGAAACACGTCATATTATGAGTAGAATTATGTCACTTGAAAGTTTGAATTTAATTAGATTACAGTAGCATAACTTTATAGTGTACAATTACCATTTATTTATTATTCAAATTTATTATAATATTATTATTTTTATTTGTCATCAAAGTATTCATTTAAATTGTAATAGCATTTATTAATAAGATATAATTTTAATTTATTTAGAAACAGTGAATACTTTTCCTCGTTTTTAACAATGGGCGGGAGCTCATTGAATATCCTCACCGACATCGAGTGGGGACTTGAGCTGTGTATGTGTAGCCGAGATCGTGGCAGTAGCAATCTATTGCGTGGTCTAAAAGTGTGTCGTTGAGGCAGGTCGTCAGTGTTAGTGTAAAAGTCAGGGTGTTGTTTAATAAATTTACAAGTTTCTAAAATATATATAGAACACAAAGTCAAAATTTTAAATTGTTTAAAGTGCGGTCTGCAGTTAACTGACTGAGCAGACTAAGTGTAGTTGAGTTTTTTGCGGTGGGTGAAATTGCATAATCTTTGTTTTATTTAAATTTATATCCAAGTTATGGTCAGACATCCAGTTTATGACCTCAGTGAAAACATGGTGAATTTTTGCATTCACGTTGTCGCCGGTACCACATGATGTCAAAAGTGAAAAAAATATCGTTCTGACTAAGATAGCTGACAGGTTAGATTGCCCCTATATTCCGCATTGTTGCGATAAGCATGCCTGCTATGGTGCCGGTTATAGAGGCAATCGATTTAGACATTAATAAACTATTGGCTTTTATTTTATTTTATTTTTATAAACTTTTACTCTTTTTAATTTCGATTATATTAATTTAATTTCTTAACTGTAGGTATTAATTATGAATTCAATTTTAAAGTAATTTATTTTGATATGGATCATTGTCACCCGAAATAAATGATTTTTGTTTTTGCTTTTATTTTTATTTCATTTATTTTGTAAAGCAGCATACCTACAGTAATGGATTGACGATGCGACTTCTTCCCGGCCAAGGCGTGCAAAATGCTTTGCTTGGGAAGAAGTCGCACCATCCATAAACGACAAACTTTTAGTGTTCGTTTCTTGAAAGTAATGTAAACATTTCCGAGCTAGTGAGGTGAAAAAGTAATTTCCGTATTTACGCGATGCGCGCTTCTACGGGATGGGACTCACCTGGAAGGTGGGTGATACGTAGAGGTCCTGATCGATAGGAAAAGGCATGCCATAGTTGAGGTTGTGAATCAGTTTGTAACGGCGCGTGCGCACGGCGCGCATCGGGTAGTACATGGTGACCTCGTGGTGAGTCTGCGACGCGAACACCGCCTCGTCCTCCGACAGTGGGGGCTCTGCAACCACCACTCGTCGATTACGAGAAGGCTACCCACGCAGTCGCGATGTGAGCGATTCGTTGCGGTTCGAAAGGTCAATGCACCTTTTTCCAAGATTGAAAGCAAACTCCGCGGAGTATCAGGGCGGAAGACTTCGTTGTCCAGTTCGAGGCTCGGGCTGGCCACGCCGAGCCACTCGAGCACCGTGGGGGCCAGGTCCAGCAGGCTGACGAGGGCAGCAGAGACCTGTCCGCGGCGCGCGCCGGCCTCGGGCGACGCCAGCAGCAGAGGCACCCGCAGCCCCGCCTCGTACAGGTTGGTGCGCCCCGAGGGAAACGGAATGCCGTTGTCGGAGCTGAACGCCACCAGCGTATCCCCGGCGCGCCCCGCCGCCTCCAGCTCGCGCAGCACCAGGCCCACTCCTGCGCACGCGTCACGCTGCTATAAGTTCATACGCTCCCGTGCGTCGATGGCTATCGTTACAGAACGAAAGAAATTTGTCGTCCGTGTCTATTTACTTGAATGATTCTTTACATCTCTTGTATATCCAACAGTAAACAAAGTATATAGAGGCTACCTAATCCCTAAATCTTGGTTCCCTATTTAGAGAACTGCAGGGAGTGCAGTCTCCTCCGGTCTCTGTAGACGAGCGAGCAATGACCTTGATCGAGTCTGGACATGGTAGTGTATTGAGCGGCGACGTCCCTGCGCGCCGGCTCGGTGTCCTGCACGTGGTAGGGCAGCTGCACTTGCTGCCACTGGTAGTACCAGGGCTGCCAGTCGGGGATGCGCCCCATGCCGGGCTCGCCCGAGCCGAACCGCTCGCAGAACGCGCCGAACTGCGGCTCGTAGTGCCCGCATCGGTGTGGGTCGTGGAAAGCCACGTACAGGAAGAAGGATCTTTTAACATACCGTACTCGTAAATTCAGTTGATCTAGAAATTTTCTGTTGAATTGAAGTTAGCAAGTTTTCTTATAAATAAAAGAGTAGTGCGCGCAGCGCCGCGGTAATGCGAGGACTCTAAGGGCGCATTTATTCAACACGAATTTCATCGCGCTCGCCCCGCGCGGCCGCCGCGCGGTCTCCGACCGGAGTCCGCGTTGCCGCCGCGCAGCGACTTCGTGCTTCTAACTGTCATGTCAAAATACGCACTATTTGTTTAGCTTTTACGTTTTAATTTAAAAGAGCGTTCCGGCACGCGAGCTAGCCTGGCTTGAATTTGGTCCACGTGGCGGCCCGCGCGGCGGTAATTTTATTGAGAGGAATTTAAATTTTGTTGCATAATAAATAGAATTCAGATTCGCTATTAATGTACATGAAGGCGTGGTAACTGGGCGGTCGCTACGAAAACTTTCACCTCGCGTGACTGGGCGCTAATTCTTCTTAACGTCGTTTGTCGATGATAATACTAAAGTTATTAGACTTTTACCATCCATATTTGGTATTACGATGTTTGATGACGAAATAAAATACATGTTTAGTATCAGTAGAGCTCCTTGTGAAAGAGTTCGTCCAGGGGAGTAGACACTGCCACCTTACCTGTTTCTGCCGCCAAGCGGTAACAGGTACAGGCTCATGGAACTTGTCAACTTATGTCTCAGGGTGACGAGCGCAGTGACGCATCCCCTAAGACTTAGCGATTTAAAACTCCAGGTAGCACTGCAACTGTTATGGTCAGGCGCGTCGCTTACCACCGAGCGCACGACTTGTTCGTCCCGACACTAGGTATTTAAAAAAAATGTTATTTTCTTTTAGTATCATTCAGTAGGTACTAAAATATGTGGCATCACAAAAATAGCCAAAAAAGCATTCAATTGAAGTCACCTGCACGCACACGGCACCAGAGAGTAGGTAACACAAGAGTAGGTCACAGTTTAACCACACCCACCTGATGGTACTTAAATGATGACACGATCGTGGAAAGCAAATAAAGTACGATGCTATGGTGTTTCCTTGCATTTCTTCACTGTTCATTTAGCTGTATTTAAAATGACGTTTTGCTGAAGTGAAGAGTGACTCCATAATAATAATATTTCTGTAAAACTCATTGTTTCTAAAGTTTGGAAAACGAAAACAGAACCGTCTATGCACTTAGTTTCCAAAAATAGAAAGTAAATAGAAGAGCGAGACGATATTGTTTGGAAATAAGTAAATAGTTACTTAGAAAAAGCACTCAGAAAAAATTCCTTCGATCCGGTCGGATCGAAGGAATTTTTTCTGAGTGCTTTTTCTGAGTGTTCGATCTTTGTATTAATAATTATAACAAACTAGTGGAGTAATTTCACAAAAAATAATTGAATAGCAATTCAATAAAAATTTAATAAATAGTTACTTGTTTTGTTGATTGGCTTGCTGCAAGAACTGCCTGACCAGCAGTTTGATGTGCGTGATATTGCGACCAACTTGGTTAATGTGGTTGTTCTCCTCCGTCTGCTCGAAGTCGAACCGGTAGACGCTGTCGGGGCCTACATGCTTCTTGCCTATTATACCTGTGTGTACATATACATTTTTGCATACTCACATTCACAATGCAAGAAGTTTAGCATAAATATTGAAGGAGCAAACAGCTTAATGGCGCGTCTACACACAATCGAGAGGTCGCCTTCACTTGCCTGCCGAAATCGATTAAGTCGCCAAGATGTAATCACTGGCAGGCGACTCGGTTGCTTTCGACAAGCAGTAGCTCCTTGTGAAAGAGTTCGTCCAGGGAAGCACTGCCACCTTATCTATTTCGTTTCGTCGCGCCCCATTTCAATGCGCGTGCTGGTGACCAGGGAATACCACCTACCCGACCTTGAACGTTTTGAACGATTTATTTATTTATTATTGTAGTGTCTCTGCGATAATGATTAAGTGATTTCGGTGAAGGGGCCTGTCGACTCGGCGTAAATGGCGCGTCGGCTGCGCCGCCTTCGTCAGCCAACTCGGCATAAACAGCGAGTCAACGTACCACCTCTTAGCGAAGCGAAGTATAGTATACAGAAAGCGGCAGTCGACCCCGTGTAAACACGCCATAAGCGTAAAGAGGTGGAATTGCATTTTGTCTAATAGGTATATTATGTAGGTATACAATCACACACGGAAGTCTAATTAGGTCGGTGCAAACGACTCTGCAATGACGGTGCTCACCAGTAAAGACACCGTGGTCACGCAACACGTTTGGTACGCTGGAGATATTGTCGAATGAGTTGAAGTGGTGCACGCCATGATGCAGGCCGTACATGCCGTTCTGGTGGCTTGGTGTGCCCGTCAGGAGCGCGGCTCGGCTGTTTATCACACAAATGTTGTTTACAAACGTTACCTAATTGTAGCTACGGTAATAAAATAAAGAAGGAGATAGCATCACCTTGGCGAGCAACTGCTAACGGAGGTAAATGCGTAGTTGAAGATGACGCTCCGCCGCGCCAACTCGTCTATGTTCGGTGTCTGACATATCTTGTTTTCGTAAGCGCCAATTTCGAAACCAGCATCGTCCGCTTTGCGTAAAGACAAACATTAATTACTGTTAATGAAGCCACCACACTTGTCGACGCAGAATCAGCTTAAGACGATCATTATTTTCACCACACTTGTCGCATTAAGACGATTTGTCATCGTCGCAGCCGCTTATGCTTCGACGCGGCCATACGAGTGTCGGAGCCCTCGTCGCGGTTTAAGGAATTTGAAATGCGTCCTTCACGTTTTCGGAGTCTGCCATGTCACCGCGCGGTCGGGTGTCGTTGCGCCGATTAGCCATCATCATCTGCGTACGGACGCGATCGGAAATTGGCAGGGAAGCAGATTTTATTGCCTACCGCAGTGTCTTTTCGTGTTTATTACATAAGTAGACATAAAAGCTTTTTCTGGCCGGCTTATACCCAGTGGCGGATTTGCCCTAAGGCCCGGGCCTAGGGCGGCCAACCGTGACAAAATAATTCACTGATTATAACAAGAAATAACTCAAAGTACCTACCTAAATATTCTAAAGGCTCACGCACATTATTGCGGGCCGCACTGCACCGCATCGTATAACAATAATCTTCCTAAATCACTTTCGTACATTTTATGTACAAAATATAGATATGTTATATAACTATAATGTAGGTAATGTCACTACATCACTACATATTATCACTACCGCGTAAGTCTGATCGCGATAAACTCAAAAACTATGACCAGATTTTTATGCGGTTTCCACCAATAGACAGAGTGACAGTGAAATTCATTATGTAGTCTACCAGTCTATGATGAGTGCTGAGAAAGGGGCGACAGGCACTGAATACATGGCCTGGGGCCAAGGGCGGTCAAGACTGCAAATCCGCCATTGCTTACTCCTATTAACTAAAAATAACGGATAACTTACGTATTTAATGTCGAATTTTTGCTCGACATGTTTGGAACAATTCGTGGTCCTTAATCATGAGATTCCGCGGCGGTGACCCGACGGAAAATGCGCGCCAAAGCCGTGGCAGCCCGATCACTCAGTACGGCAGCGGGCGCAGACGGCGTCGGCGAGAATCTACCCTCGTTTGCTTCATTTTTATTAAAGTCATATGCAGGATTGCACACTACATTTACAACGTCACTTTCTAAAGTCTCGTCTACACTACCCACTGTCGTAGTACCTAACACTGTTTTACCCGGGGGTACCGACCATCCACTATCACGATTGTAATTCGAATGACGACCAATCTCGAGAGCTATCACGTACTTTCCGCGGAATGAAATGCGTTTCTCTCGCCAGTACGGACACTTCATCAAAACGAATATAGTGCGTCGAATCCGAATCCAATGAGTGTTCCGTCACTGCAGAGCCCCGATTGTCCCGGTTCTTAATACTACGTATGTGTTTCGAAAGTCGTGTGGATATGTTACGGCCGGTTTCTCCTATGTAACTCCTGCCACAGGAGCAGGGAATCTTATATACACCGGGAACATTCAATGGAACAATCACCGCCGCGGAGTCTCATGATTAAGGACCACGAATTGGTTCGAAACATGTCGAGCAAAAATTCGACTTAAATGAGATTCGCTCTGGACCTTTTGGAGGGAAAAGTGTCGTTTTTATTTTGACTTTCAATTATTTTGTGAAATCTAGGTTAAAGTGGAATAGGATAGTGCTATTGTGCCTTAATCGAAGATTAAAACGCGAAATTATACGAATCTCGAACTAAAATACCCCTATCGGCCCGTTTTAAGGAATCCCGAGTCAATCCAAGCACACCGCCTCAAATTACCTATCCTCTTTGTGGCGGCCATATTTACAGAAACATAATTATTTAAACTTCATGTTTAGGCTGATGGCTTTGCCAAAGCCTTAATAAATAAAAAAATAAAAAAAATCGACTTAAATACGTGAGTTATCCGTTATGGCTCAACTGTACATTACCATCGCACGAGTTGAGAGTTGAAATTAATATGGTGAATAGATTACATGGTTAGCAGTGTAATCCTAAAATATTAGCTTTAGGAAACTCGTAGTTTTGATAATAAAAATTATTGAAATATTCGAAAATATATGATAGGAAACAGGTTTTATAGGTTAGGAAAGCACAGCGTTTGGTTGTTGCAGTATTTTTTTTTTAAATAACGCAAAAAAATAAACATTTTCGTAAAAAAAAATGAACGCGCGCGCGCGGCGTTTCGTTCATTTTTTTTTACGAAAATGTTTATTTTTTTGCGTTATTTCAAAAATTTTCCGCAGTATTGAATTAAACAGCACAAATTAATACGTAATTGTAAATTTAACATAGAAATTTACTATAATTAGTATGTAAGCTTTTATTTTTGAACAATTATTTTTTGTTGCAAAAAAATAACGAAACGCGTAAAGAACGCCATGTTGTTTGTTGTTGTTTACTGTTTGATGTATGCATCAATTAGGATTTTGCGTTTTTGCCTGGTTTTAGGTTTAAATTTAGTTTTTCATATAACACAGGAAGTGGAGTTGGGGAGGGTGGTTTGGGGGTGGGTTTTTTCCCGCTAGGGGTTCGGGGGGAGGGGTTTACCCCGCTCTTTGGTGCGAAAACATGATTTTTTGAGGTTATTTTTTTCGAATTTTCAAAAATTAATATCTCGAAAACTATTAAATTCCTAACTTTGAAACTTTGCACGAAGGGTTCCCTCCCCTCCCCCCTTCCCCCCACCCCCCTCCCACCCCTCAAATCGTGCGATGGTAATGTACAGTCCTTCCTCCGTTATTTTTAGTTAATATGTCTGAGTCTCACAGTGGTTTTCTATTTAACTTTAACTGCTTACTCCTAATGCCATTCTTAGGTTTTCTCAGTTGCTGCACATTGACATGGGACTAGCACCTAGCTGTGGCTATTGGACCTGTAAAAAGCCCGAAACGTGAGTCTGATTAATTAATAAATAAATATTTGCGATTTAGATCCATGAAACTACGTAGTCTCCGGATAACGAAGACTATACAGGAGCTCGTACAAGTAAAACCACGGCCGTTCGTTATAACATTTGTACTACCTACATATTTCATAATACACTTACTACCTACAATATGCTGAGTTCATGAGACTTACACTTTTGCGCTTTTCGCTTGCTTTGCTTTTGCGTGTCTCGCTTCGCGCATACGCAAAGATCTGTCGCGTGACGCGCAGGTCGGACTGTTCACGAGTCGCTCGCTTGCGCCGTGCGCGCCGCCCGGCGTCCGGCCGCTTGCTTTGCGTACGATTTCTTTGCGTTGCGAGAGTTTCATATCTAATAGCAAGCTTGATATTTCCAAAAGCAAAAAGAAACGTTTGCGGAGGACAGCACCACTGGTCAATCACAGAGCAGCAACCGGCTCGAGAGCAGAGTGTCAACAACCCAACCAAAGACAAGGCACCGCGCATGCGCACAAGTCTCTCCGCAACGCTGTTGCCAGATTAGGTGATGTTTTTCACCATTTAGACGACTTTAAGGGCGCGTTCAAATTAGCCGCTGTTAGCCGCGCTACAGCAGCGCTGCAGCCGCGCGGCGGTCGCGCTTGCCGTGCTGCTGAATTGCGACCAAATTTTTAGTGATGTTTTATCTTTCGACTCAGTTGCACGATGGATTCTGACGAAGAAACGTTACTTTCAATTATTTTGTTAAAACTGAAGAAAAAAGATTAAAAGAATACCAGAACGTATTAATATAATCGACAACATATTATCGACATTGTCCATTGACAACGAGAATTATAGACGTTTTCGAGTTGTTTGGGAGTGCTTATTGCGAATGTGGCATTAATTTCTAAAATCAAAATGGTTGCCAATAATTTTCAAAAATGTATTTTTGGTAATCCTTGGGAATGGCATTTATAACTGAATACATGACGGTTAACACGACTTTTCTAAATGCAAGGATACCCATATTGAATATTTTTTTTAAATCGCGTCCGCCATCTTGGATTTACAAACAAGTGGTATATTCGTAATGAGAACCCTAAAATACCTCGAAAACGATACCCAACTTGCCATTATTAAAAAAATCGTGCCCGCCATCTTGGATTTAAAAATGAGTGCCATATTCGTAATGAGCATCCCCAAATACCTCGAAAAGGATACCCATATTACATTTTTTTTGATAAATTTAGTCCGCCATCTTGGATTTACAAATAAGTGCTATATTCGTAATGAGCACCCTTAAATATGTCGAAAACGATACCCAACTTGCCATTATTTGAGAAATCGTGCCCGCCATCTTGCATTTAGAAATGTGAAAAGTCGTGTCAGCCATCATGTATTCAGATATAAATGCCATTTCCAGAAGGATTACCAAAAATAAATTTTTAAAAATTCTTGGCAACTATCTTGGATTTAGAAATTAAGTTTAATAAAGTTTAATGGTAGTAACCATTAAATAGTTACAAAACTCGATTTACGAAAAATATTTGTAAATAGTTTTCGCCTTGTTTACGGGTTTTTATGGGATTTTTACGTTTGTTTAACACTATTCTTCACACATGTAGTTAGGTGGGTCAGAGTTCTTGGGGCACACACTTCACGTATAGATATTAAAAATTACTCACAACCTGTTATGTTTTTTTTTTCATTTGTAGTTTTAGTTTCAAAATTGTCAATAGATTTTAGACATAAATTTTCCCATGCCTTTTTTTCCAGTCGATTAGAATAACTGGCGGAACTGATATCCCATATTGCAAGTTGATGTTCTGGATTCTCTATAAATTCTTCAACTCGATTTTCGTCCATCGTAGTTAATTTGAAAAATTAACATGTACACCTCACTAACCGTGATGCAACCGAGTGTGGCTGCAGCGCGACTGTCGCGCGGCCGCCGCGCGGTTGCAGCGCTTCTAGAAATTGTATGAAAAGTGACAATCGCGCGGCTGCAGCGCGGCTAATTTGAACGCGCCCTAAGGGGTCGCGCGGCGACTAAAACAAGTAGTCGGCGACTCGGCGATATTTAGGTTATGTTTGAAACAGGAAAAACGATTTTAGGCTACTTAATAAAATGTCTGGGGAATTACAGATTTCGTGGGGAATAGAGTTGTAAA